TGCCTGTTGCCTCGTCCTGTGTCGCTCCCTCGTGGGCAACGTCCATAATGCTAGCAAAAATCTGATTATCCCTCTCGTCAAAGCCAGGTTGCCGAATGCGGGCGTTATGGAGTCGCCTGTCAACTGCGACACTGATTCGTTGCCTCTTGACTGCTGTAACGTAGCCTATGGCCAAGGCGAAGTGGCCCTCCTCGTCAGAGACCACAATTGGCTCTCCGACTGACAACTCAGACTCCAGGAATGAGAATCCTGAAACTTGAACTCGCTTGACAAAGGTGTAGTGGTATCGATTGATCCTAGGGTTGTCCGTGTCGACTGAAGCCGAACCCTCTTCGATGATAACATCTGCAAAGCATCGAGATTTCTTTTCTCGTTCAACACTAGTCATTGTCCATAACTCTCTTTTGGTTTTTTGGCTCTCTTTCTCTTCTTTGGTCAGTAAATTCTCCCACTTGATGAAGAATTGTTGATGATGAGGGGTTAAATGCTTGACGAGCTCATCAAATTTCTCGTTCATGCCACTCGAGTCTCCATCTCCGTCGTCAGCGAGTCGATGGTAGATGAAACACGATGTCTTGGCGTAGCATTTTCCACACATGTGCTTGCTCTTGAGCATTGGTGGCAACTGAACACTCCTTTCTCGAACGTAGCATGCTAGTTGATTTCTTTGCATGATCATGTGTCGGAGCTCGTGTCGGATTGCGGGAATACGCATCGTCTTGGATGTTTCCATATAGTAGAGGATCCCATACGCAATTTCAATATCGTAGCGGTCCGATAAGAGCAAAGTATAGAGTGCAGTTTGAGCCATATGGTTACTGTTTGCATGTTTACCCGTCTTGACCTCAAACGGCACAGTCAAAGTCCGAATATCATTTCCATCTTGCATTGCAACTTCAACGGTTGCGTCGATGTTGCCCTTGAGTCCGTACATTGGGGACCACACGTGTTCCTCAACATCCAAGAGCTTGGTAACGGCCATATTTGCCTTTTTCCCGTTTCGGTCTTCAACTACCGCATCCTCCTTTGGGCGGAAAGATACGAAAGCGCCAGCCCAGTAACTCAATTCGGTCATTTTCGATTGCAGATGCTCTCGAGCTGAAGGTATGCCAACTTTGATAGTATAGAGGTCCTCGACATGCTTTTCTGTTATTCGGTCGATGACGGCGCATAAGAAAGGGAGATCCCACTTGTTAGCAAGAAGGGCCTCTTGGAAAATTTCGTGTAGCATTGTTCCGTAGATAAGGGGTGGTGTGGGAGGACTGGTGGCCTTGACTCGATCTTGCAGCACAGCACGGCGCATGCAACCGAACGAATCAGCCACCACAGTCGCGGATATGAGTTGATCAGGGTGTAAGATAAGGAGATTTTGGCCATCGTCAACGATACATTGACCTCTTAAAGAGAAATCGCCTATAATGTGAACGTAGGCATCTGCGTGGGCTGGTGTGTCAAACCATGAAGCCCTCAGGTGAACCGTCTTGATATCTTTTGAATTGTCGGCCTGAATGAGAAGAATCTGAAATTGCGAATCAGTAATATTCGAGCATAATTGTCGACTAGTTTACCTTTTCTGGCCGTGCATGTCCGTATTGATCCGTATACTCGCCCTCCAAGACATTCGTTACCAGGTATCGTTGGATTGTTCTTGGTTTCCGGCTCTACCTGTTACTTAGCATATGGCGGATCCTCCTAGGTTGTTCGACGTACGTCTCCGGAGCAGTTCTGGGCCGCTTGGGTTGCGGCCAATTCCACGGCTTCAAAATCAAAGTCTCCGTCAAATGCGTCTCCAAATTCGTCATCCAAGTCATCAAGTTCTGTTGCTGCTGGAGCCTGTGATACTTGTTGAGAGTCCGCAGTAATGAGATCTTCTGCCTCGTCGAAGAAGTCATCGTCCAAGTCGTCAAATTCGTCCAGCTTCCGGTCAAACCTTCCCGGTGTCTTGTGCTCGATCTCGGATACTGGGTTGTTTTCGGCTACTGCTACATCTGGTTGTGGATTTGTTTCCAATTGAGTAGTGTTGATGCTGGCTTCAAGTTGCATTATGGTGTCGTCGTCAAATTCGTCAAAGTCATCATCACCATAGTCCGAGGAAGCAGGTTCTGGAGGTGGTAGTTGAACTGGAGGTCGAGCCGGAACTTGAACATGCTGTTGCGCAGGGTGTTGTGCAGGCGTTTGAGACCTGGCTTGGGTTTTTGAGAGGCGTGGAGAGCCACTGCTAGTGGTATATATCCGCCTCTTCTTAGGAGAAGGAGATTCTGGAGCATCTTGGGGCTCCTCGCGGGGCTCATCACTTGGCCCGTTGATGCTACTAGTCACCGTATCAAGCAGTGCATTTACCATTGAAGACTTGGATGCCTCCATCTCTTCCATCTCAGTACTCAGGCGACTACCTGACGTTGATCTTTCCACCCTTCTCCTTTTGGGCCAATTCAAGCCACAACTTATTGCTCGTCTGAGATTGGATTCGCCAGCCGTTGGTTTCGATGGCCGTGGCGAAGACGATACCATCAACTGTGCAAGTGCAGGGTTTGCAAGTCCTAGAGGGCTACCTGCGTTGTCGATTCCATTTAGCGAATATCGGTCCCATAATTCCAGTGTTGGATCCGCGTGTGGTGACTTGAGGGCCTGCGCCAGCTTCCTGACGTTTACCGAAGGTGTATTGGACTTGTCCGCCACCGGAGATGAAACAGGTGATGAGCTCCTAGCACGTTTTCTTCCTTTGCGGTTCAACATGGGGGACAATGCTGGCATGTACAACGTATCCTGTCTATTGTCCCAGAGGAGCCGATCATTCGGCGAAGTAGTTGTGTCATCTTCGGTACCACCTGCAGGCTCGAGCAGCTCTTGCCAGGTCAATCGAGTAGCGGGTGTCGTTGTTGTATCATCCTTAGTTCGGTTGTTTGATACATTCTGATCGTTTTCTGTGCTCTCTGTGGCTGATTCGCCATTCGACGGGTGGTACTGAAACTTATTGAGCTTATTCTTGGTCACCTCGGACACAGGCTGGAGTGCCCGAGGCCTTGGTGTTTGCTGAACGGGGTTGCTCCTCGATCGCTGCCATGGCAAGCGCTGTAACTGTTAGTGATGCTCAACTTTGTGTCTGTATATATAGGTAGTTTTTTTTCATTACCTTAGTTCGGCCAACTTGATCCGAGTAGGATTTTTGTAGAGGCATTATACCTACCGGGGCTTGAACATTCCGATTTCCAAACCCGTAAAGTAAGGTGATAGTGGGACATTTGAATTGAAGTGGAGGAAGTAGTTAGACGCGTTCAGTTAATGGGCAAACGCGTCGCGATATTCGCTACCCCTTGTCGCTGTTGTTGCCAGGTCACGTGGAGAAGCTCTTAGCGTGGTTGGAGCTGCAGCGCATCCATGTCATCTCCAAAGCTCTAACGAAGCTACCCGACTCCACACATCAACGGCCTATGTGCGTCAGTGGACCAGGCTTCACAGCGTCACCATTTTTGGTCCCGCCAAGTCCGTTATTTGGTGATCTCGAGCCGATGAATCAGTGAAACAACACCGCATAACGCTTACTCCGACTCTGAATCACTTACTTCCGACCTCAAGAAACTCAATCGCGATGGATTCTCAGCCCAATGGCACTGGCCCTGCCCAGTCCCGCGAAAGCTACAAGCACTCTATGGAAGAATGGCGCCAGTCGGCACTCGCCCAGCGCAACCAATATGAACCCCGCGTCAAAGAACAAGTCACTCGATACTTTCAAGAATACTCTCCCCCGTTTTACGCCTCCGTAATTGGCTACCGTCGTGATTGGAATCTTCTTGTTGCGACGTCCCGGGTCTCTGGCTTCGCGGCCACTCTGGGTCGAGATTTGGAGGATGTGGAAGCAAAAGCCATTGCCGAATATACCCTCGATAACATCCATACCAACGCCGGTTTAAAGTGGCTGAGCGTCGCACTCGCTGGATACATGACCTATCGTGGTCGCCGCACATGGCAATTCCCCTTCTATAAGCCCAAGCTCGGCGGCCGATTCAACCCAAATGAGGCCACTAGCATTTTCACAAACAAGAAGATCCGTGGAGCTTACCCTCGCGCAACATGGCATTGTCTTCGATTTACAGCCTACGCCGCTGTCATAATGCTAATGATTGAGCCCGCATTCCGGGCTGTCAGTTTCATTCGAACCGAAGCTGCCATGACAAATGACCCCCGCTTGAAACAGTTCACCAAGGATGCAGCCGAGCGTGTCAAGGACGTAATGAGCAACCCAACCATCTCAAGAGCACCTTTTACAGGGAGGGATGTGCATAAAAGTGATGACAACGACCCTTGGGCCAGTAATGATTCAAGCAAAACCAGCTCTGAGAGTAGATATCAGCCCACCCCTACCCAGTCCTGGGATAAGGCGCAATCCTCGACCACAACGCAACAAAGTCAACGACCCAATGACGACTGGAGCGTTCTAGATGATGATGATGATGCTTCACCAATCGCTTCCTCTTCCCGCAATAAACCAGCATCTCCTCCTGCTGGTTCTGCGTGGGAACGCATTCGACAACAATCACAAGGGCCACCCCAGCAATCTGATTACCAGTCCCGTGCCTGGGCTGCCCGTTCTCAGACCGGGTCTCAGCCAGAATCACAATCTGGCTGGGACAGTAGGTCCGCTGGTAGCTCTAGTGACAGTTTTTCTTTCAGTAAATCGGACGAGGAAAGGGCAGTCGCAAAAGAACAGGCGCAAGATGAATTCGATCGACTTGTTGAAAGAGAAAGGAAGGGCGTGGATCAGGAGAAGGCCTGGGGGCGCAAGTAGAGTAAGCATTGTACAAAAAGACTGCATATGCCTGTAGTTATGTATTTTTCATGTAGCACAAATGAAGAAAGCATAATTCAATGAGCTTTGCTGCTGTGGTTTATTTTGTTTTGATAACGCTGAAAACAAACTCAATTCTGATTACGTTGCCAGCTCGACCATTAACAATATGCCCATCTCCCCCTCGATACGCCTGCTAACATTCCTTGTTTTTTTACTGCTTTACTTCATCGGATACGGCAACAGGCTCAACTGCATCACCTCCCTCCGTCTTGTCCACAATGGTCTCCAAGATACTCTCACCAGCTGTGTTCGTAACGAGACTCTTTTCAACTTGGGTTGGTTCTTGTTCACGCTCAGGCTCGGGTTCTTGGAGAGACGCCTCTGGAGCAGGCTCTGGGGAAGGTTCCACAGCAGGTTGCTGTACAGGGAGCTCAGGCTCAGCTTCTTGAGGTAGCTTTCCTGCTGCGGGTTCCGGATCCCTATGCACTGGAACTGATTCTGATTCGGGCTCTGATCGGAGCTCCGGCTTGGGCTCCAGATTAGGCTCAGACTTCGGTAACGGTTCTTGGGTAGTCACAGGCTCAGCGACAGGCTCCTCGGTCTTTTCCACCGCTGGCTCTGGTTCAGAAACAGGAGTCTGTTCACCAGATACTGACAGAGAGCCCTCGAGATCGATAGACCAAAGAGTCTGGGGAGTTGAGAATGACAAAGAAGGACCTGAAGATTGCACGGCCGGCGCCGCGGGGCTCTTGGCGGGAGCTCGGCGCTGTGGGCCCCGGGCTCGACCTTTGCGAGCATCCGAAAGCGGGGCCTTCTCCTTCTCTTCCGTCAAATCCTCTTGCGGCTTGGTATCCTCCTTCTTAGGGGCCTGGGGCCCTAGCTTGAGACGCTTGTTCAGATCGCTCATAAAGCCTGCTTGAAGGGCGGCAATCTTGCTACCGGCCGGTCGGCTAGGCACGGGAGGCTTCTGTTTAGGCTCTGCCGAGTCTCCTGATGAGGCTTTTGTAGGTCGAGGAGGGATCTGAGGCTTTGGCTTGTCAGACACGGGAGGTTTTGACTTGCCCTCATCGCTCGTTGTGTGCTTGGGCTTGGGTCGCTCCGGAATTGCAGGACGATCCTCAGATGCTTTTCTAGCCGGTCGCTCCGGAATTGAAGGCTTGTTCTGCTCCGTAAGTTCCTCCTTGGGCTCCTCCTTGACCTCGGGTTCTGGGGTATCAGAGATAGTAGTCTCGTAGAGCTGGCTCTCGGGAGCATCTTCCCAAATGTCTTTGCTGGGGAATCGTTGACTAGCAGAAGGTCTCTTGTTGTTGTTCAGGAAAGAATCAGATTCCTTTGATTCGTACCATATTGGCTTGTCATGGTTCTTAGGGGGCTGAATATCCACAGGACCTCTGGCCTCTTGCTCGGCAAGTTCCTCTTGTCTCTGAGCAAAGATATGAGCTGGGGTTTTAGGACGATCCATTGCGGATGATCGTCGTCGAGGCTCCTCTGTCTGCTCTGTCTGTTCCGCCTGATCAGGTGTCGAAACCTCAACAGTGAAGTGCACGCTGTCCGGGGCATCCTCCCAAATGTCCTTGCTAGGGAAATAGTGTCGTGCCTTGTTGCCAGGTGCTGGCTTCTGAGCTTCCTTCTTCCCCTCTTCAGGGAAAAGAGGCTCATATTCTTCCACGTCATCCAGAGAAGTGGGAGCAAATTCTTGAGAGTCATTGTTCTTATAGATGCTTGTGGGTCTGCTCTTGGGTCTGCTAGACCTGCTCAGAGGTCGGCTTGTTGGTTCCTCCAAATCACCGCTACCTCGACGGTCAGCGGGAGGATGAACAGCAGGACGCTGGCTGTAAGAAGAATCATCATTCTTGACTTCGTCGGCAGCCAAAATGGGTGCAGTGTATTCATGGTCCTCCTCGTCTACAGCAGGATCCTCGTTACCATACGAGCGGTACTCTGGGTGCTTAGGATCGTCAACGTGCACAGTATGTTCACCATCGGGGCCAGTGATCTCCGACTTGAATGACAGGGGCTGAACCTGGCCTTCATTGGTGGAAGCGGGTCGGGGAGAAAGGCGAGAAGTGTATTCTTCACTGGCCTGGAAGCCAACTTCATCAGTAGGCGTAGCCTGATAACCAGATGTGCCTGTATCTCATTAGCTAGTGCGAGCACAAGTTTATTCGCAACTTACCTAAACCGGCGCCACGAGATCGAGTGTCTCTGACCAGTTTGTTCAGGTCATCCTTGCTCATGGCAAAGTCATTTTGACGATCATGTAGAGGAGTCTGATGTTCCCTCTTAAGGGCTTCAGGATGCTTCTCGTAGTATTCCTTCTCGAGTTTGTCCAATGGCGCAACACCATGGCCGTGGAGGCCGTAGCTACCCGGAGGTCCACCACGAGAGCTATGCTTGCGGTGATGGTGCTTCTTAAATTCCTCAGACCCAGGGCCAGGCGAAGGGGCCTGAACGTCACCAAGATGAGGGTTCATGGGCACGCGCTGGCCGATTTCGGGAATACCATGCTCATCTTCCACCTCAGGACGGCCATCACTGACCGATACATTGGTGCTGGACTGCTTCTTGTTGCCCTGTGTAGATCCAGGGCGACCAATGCCAAATTGTGCTGCCTTGTCGGAGTCGGTGCGGGTAACAGCCTGGACACGCTGCTTGGCGCTTTGCGCTGGCAGGGAAGGTTTGGGCGCATGAAGCTTAAGGTCCTCCGCAATGGTACGTGTTTGTTCGGGTGACGCAGCTCTGTTGTCCTCGTCGACCTGGACCTCGTCAGGCTTGACTTCGTGGGTCACGGCACTGTACTCAGCACCCTCCTGGCCAATCGAAGGCATCGAAACGCTGGTTGGGCGGTTGATTGGATCCTGACGAGCATCGTTCGGGTTGAATCGGGCAGAGATGGGACTCTTTTGAGGAATGCCCTCGTTGAAAGGTGAGGGAGCGAATCGATCGGGATTGGGAGATATCGAGCGGTCAAATCGTTTCGATGAAGGACGAGGTGGAATCTTGGGAACATTGGCCGTGGAATCGTTCTTGTCCTGGCCCTTAGCCGGGCGGGGGGGGATAACGGGAGGTTGTTGCATGGCGGCAGCGGTCATTGTTGATGTTTAGATGCTCGGAGGAGCGATTATAGAAAGTTGACGAAACAAAACAAGAGAGGTAAGTGCAGGTTTCATGTAAGACGGGTTGTGTGATGATAATCTGGGGCGACCAAAGAATGGTCAATACTAAACAATTAGTATGAGTTCGAATAACAATTGTAGAACCAAGGCAATTGGAAGCTATAGCACGAATTGGAACTTATCCGTGACAGGGGCATAGACTGGTATTTAAAGGCATTTGTTGGCCTCGATCCCAGTCTAAAGTCCCATCAACAAGATTCCGTCCATCCATGTGCCCGTGCCGTGCCTGTAGGTTGTTCCAGCTGAGGTACGGTACTGTACTGTACCTACAGTGCTGGACCAGCCCCTGGGCTTATCGGATCCACGGTTCACGAGTTAGAGGCGCCGCCTGTGAATGGATCCATTGCTATCAGAAAGCGATAGAAATCCAATGCCACATACGGGCACACCCTGCTGCGCCCACCAACTGTTGCGCCCGTCGCACACCGATTGATTGATCTTTTGCTCAGGGACGAAGAAACTTACCAATGGGGTTGCCGTGATTGGTATTGATTGGCCCAGGCACAAGCAGTGCAGATATATGTAGTATAGTTCAATACTAACTAACAACCGGCTTTGGTTGGGGATTTGAGGTGTCAGATAAGACGAGACGAGATGTACAAAAGCTATTAAGTGCGCATTTTCAAGCTGGCAGTGGGCCTGACTAGATCAGTGTATTTATATGCCAGACTCTGGCCTCAATACATACGATACAAAATGGAACGTCCAGGTGACAGGAAGTGCCACCGGAGCTGCTGGTGACTTTTGCTCATCGTCACTGGTTGTGAAAACAGGGATGGCGATGGCGCCAAGTCGGACGGTGCGAGGCGTTTCTGATCAACACTGTAGCTAGATCGTGGATTGTTTTGAAGAGTTGAGAAGATGGAGAATGCAAAGAAGCTGCTCTATCCTCGACGATCTTTGAGTGGGAGCTTTGATTCGGTTTTCAGCTGCAATTCGTGTATTCTGCTCATGTCAGAGCACGAATTGAGTACATTTTATAACCTCATCCCATCGTTGACCTCTGTTCTGAAGCTTACCTCAGAGCTTTCCAAATAAAGCATTTTCGTCACTTGCATGGCCCTGGATACAGTGCCCCCCGCATAACTATGATACCACAGTCCAGTCCCATGGAAGTCCCTGAATCTGTCTGTCCGTGTACGGTTCCATGAGTCTATGGTTGTCCTTCTGTCCAATCCCATTGTTGAAACTTGAGACGCGCGGTGCGACAGCCAGATCAATGCAGGTGCTCGTTTCTGTCTTGAAATTATGCATGCAAAGGTAGCGTTGCCTTTTGGTGTCGAGATATCATCATAAGGTAAGAAAGAACCGTTGGTAGGTACCTAGGTACCTAGGTAGGTGACCAAGGAGGTACTTTACTCACTCAGAGTCTCCCTCAACAGCTCGCTCCCGCCGACCCGCCGTAGTTCATCATGGCGGGGATCTCCTGCAGTCTATTCCCCACCAACCGATCGATGCTACAGCCGGCTATTTTCTTCCTGTTGACGCTCCCGTCCATAAGAGGTCAGAAGAATGACGCTTACTCGACGGCGTGCTACTGGACGGTACGGTGAACAAACCTGACGGTCGCCTGACCAGCTGGAACGGAGCTATCAAACCATGCGTTGCAAGTGAAAACGTTGTTGGTAAGAGACCACGAGCCCCTTTGTTCCTACAAAATGATGTACTGTTCAGGGACAAGTATGTACTATCGTGGTCTCCGAGGAAAACTGGAGTCTCGAATTGGATCAGGTAACAAAGGCCAATGACGATCTCGTTGTTTTGAGATTCTAAACTTCTTTCAGCTTCTGTGTTGTTGTAAAATAGAAGCAGAAGCAAAGGCTGGTGTCGATGATCGCCCACCTGTGATGGAACAAACTTTGTTTCCCCTGGACACCTTACAGTATCACGATCCTCCAGTCGAATCACAACCCGTCTGGCCTCTCCACCCTGTACATGATGCCATCAGACCGAGAAGTTTTGCACAGCTGTCCCAAAAGGTCCGTTCTGACGCCATCTCCGTAACCAGAGCTCCAGTTGACCGGTCCGGCTACCCTAGACATGCAAACTCTCGTATCGTGTTGAACATATGGCCTTGTAATGTTCTATGACTCATTCTATAACCGTAATGGGTTATCCTTGAACGTGTTAAAGAGAAGCACTGGTTTGGTGAAACGCCATGGCACGAAGCTCGTTGGTGTGAAAGCAAGCAAAATCTTTTGCAGCATCCGTATGGACGTCAAAGAGGTCTCGAATCGAGCAAATGTCGAGTTCGTTCAGCCATCAACCAAATTCAAACTAGCGCCCATCAAAAAGACCTGGGTATCATATCACGAGGGAACCATAGCTTTGAGCACGACCTTCCACAAGTGCTCCTTTGTCTAGAATCTGAACACTAAGTTTCCATCTTTGATATGCCGCTAATTTGAGCACATTGCAGTTCTTATCACATGATGAACATGGGTGAATAGCCATATTGATATGGCGGCGATCCCGAGAGCTATCAATAGCTTTCTAGAAATGCTATTCATAGCCTTCTGAGGGCAAGAAAATACCAGACCTTAATATAAGGCATTAAAATAAACCCCGTAAAAGATATCCTAAACTTATATGAAGTTACTTAAGTCTTTTTGTCATTTAAGAATAAGGTCCTGAGTTTTCTTTCCTCCTCTAGATAGATAGCATAGAACGATATCTGCCAGCAGGCAAATGCATCGAAGCAGCACCAACATCGTCACAGTACGATCTGATGAGCAGAAATACAAGAAATGAATTCGAATTTTAGCGAAACAACTTGAAATAACGTAGTCGTTGAAACTCGTTCACGAAATGCCATCAACTTCAATCAAAACATGAGCCGTTCCTCAACCCAGACGCCAAATCCAGCTGGGTATACAGGCCGCTGCTCTTGGCAGGAACCTAAATCTTCGAGATAAGCAGATTTTCCATCATCATCACCGTCCTCCTGCACCTGCGAGCTATGGAAAGCCTTAGGTGCCTCCTGTATTCGGCGAACGCCACGGTGCAATGTGTCAACTTGAATAGTGGTTCGTCCGCTTCGTGGTCGAGCCACGAAATTGGTCGGGCTGGCAACTGACGAGCCTACACAATCATCTGCGCAACACCCTGACCACCGAGGGTCTTGCTGCCGACAAAGGCCTGGCCCTTGATACCGGCAAGCAGGTAGCAAAGAGCAGTCAGTAGCAGGAAGACAGCAGCGGCAATCAAGCTGCTTGCACCGCTAACATTGCTAATGAACTGCAGAGCAGACATGACGCCATAGGCGGCTGCGCGCATATAGTTGGTCGAGATCTTGCGAATCGTCTCATCGAACTTGCCGGAGGTTGGGCAGATTCGGAGAAGAAGAGGGACCTCGATGAAAAGAATGACAAAGGCCGATGCGCTGTGGATGGTTAATATCGATGCTTCATCATGACATGGGTGATTCTTACATAGCAAAGGCGCAGAAGATAATGCGAACTACATTAAACGAAAAGATGTTGGCGATTCCAACAGCCAGACAGATGATCATGGAAAGAATTCCAAGCCTATGCACAAGTAGTGTCAGTCGGTTGTTACATCGTAGATGATTCGGTATGGGTCATGTCGCAAAGTGGCTTAACAGGTCAATAGCTATGATTGAAGCTGTATACAGCCGAGGATTGTTTGTAGCCTACCATTGTCCGTAGATGCCTACACGAATATTAGTATCTCCCACAAAGCGCAGTCAATCGAGAGCGACATACTGAAGTTTCGCGTTTGGAACTCCTCCTTGAGCGTCATCTTGCTAGCTTACGTCGAGCTTTCGTATTCGGGCTTGGAGCAGCCGAGGAAGAAAGTGGCTGATGTTTTCTAAGAGACCAATTCGAGATCGTAAATTGATTGCAGTAAAGCGTAACGAGAAATGTCGATTGTTGCGACGGCGATGGAGACTTGGTCGAGAGGTGGAGAGTTTGAATTGTTGTGACGACGGGGATGCGAAGTTTGAAATGATGAACGTAGCCTCTTCGTCAGGTGTAGGTATGGTATGGTTGCTGAGGTAGTCCCCAATTTTGATTGAGGCTGGTGCAGGGTCAAAGGGCTTGGCTCCAAGTCTCGATACGGACGGGCGAGTTAATGGAAGGGCAGGCGAGTGGATGCTCCACGGGGCATTGGCTGTTTTGTGTTTGTAGGGGAACGGGTCCTGTAACGAGGATGGATGGTGCACTGTTGATAGTGGATAGTAGAGGTCGAGTTGGTGAACATGAGACAAAGGGTTTTGGTTTCGGGTCTCTGGGTCTGCTGAGACGCAACCAAGAGGCTTTTGTAGTCCTTGTTTCTTTTCTTTTCTTTTCTGTTCTTTTCTGACTTTGTGCTGTCTTGCTTAACATGTATTCACTTTCTGTTTAGGCAACTCTATTCTCTGCACAGCCAAGTGACGTACGTTGACCACGCGGCATCGCCAAGCCTCGCCCAGAGTGAAGCGGAGTTGGTTCTCAAATGGAGTCTTTCACAGAGACAATCGCCAAGTTTATTAATGACAAAGCTCAGTCGGCCAGTGGATGCTTTGGAGCTCCACGGATTCGTATTCGAAGACATCAGCTTGAGGTGAGGGTATATTGAGATCCAGGCACCCTTCAAAAGCTGTATTTTAAGCCCACGAATCAACACTCAAGGTTCATGCATACCTAGGTATTGTGGTAGGTACCTTAGCCATGAATCGACCATACTCCAGACTTTAAAGACCAGCTGGCATTTTGGACTTTACAGTTCGAGAAGTTTGTGATGCTATAATAAGCACAAGACTGACTTCATGCTCTGAATATTATCCCTTGGTTTACTTTCATAATTAGCGTTCTACAGAACTATATTGACCAGCTACGGATGCGTGACAATCGATCAACTTCAGTCATGTTACACGAGTAAGCGAATCCGTCATCTAGAGCTACCCCAATCGA